AGGGGAAGCAACAGGGGTATAAGAAAGGCTGATAGTCTTAATTTCATCCTGCAAAGAGGACATATCAAGGGAGATGTCAGTATTATTCCATATACCAAGTAAGTGATTTTTAACATTTTTCCATGGGACAGAAGAGGAATTGTACAAATGGGGGGTAACACAGATCCACTTAAAATCAATGTGACAGCGAGTGGTAAGGTGAGTTTTAATATGTTGGATCTGGTTACCAATATAAAGAACTGTCTCCTCAAGAACATTAATTCGGGCCTCAAACTTTTTATCCATGCTCTCTTGAAAGGCGAGAGCTTGGGAAATATTATGTGAGAGATTATCAACATGTTGGGCTGTGTGGACTTGTTGAACAAGGGCCGTGGTGGAAACTGCTACAGAGGCAATTATAGAAATCAAGGCAGTAATCCCTAAAATGAGCGCAGCTACAAAACGTTTTTGACGTCGCAGGCCGTTGTTGATGAGCTGGAAAGCGTGGGTGCCTGAGTTGTCGTACCACTGGCCGTTGAGCTTAACAGGCAGGACTACATAAGGAGGTTGGTGGACAATTAAAAATTTAGTCGTGCCCACGGAAGGATCCAGGCAGTTGGTTAGGAGGCAGCCAAGGCAGGTGATTTTGTAGGTTTTGTGAACATGAAGAATTTGGAGATTTCCGGTTCCCTGAATTAGCAGAGCTTACGGTGGTCCGACACAGGCCCTTACAGAGGAAATGTTTTTGGGGGAATGGGGGCGGATAAGGGAGATAGGTGCTGCTGCTGCAAATAAACGATATAGTTCAGTGTGAATCACAATATCATGAGGGGTGGAAAAGAGGAAGGAAGGAGCAACCCAGCCATAGCTGTACCAGCGAGAAAGAAGTTCATTAGGAGGGGCAAAAGAGTTATTCCAAAGGTAAGCAGCATCAGAGGTCAATTTTTCTCGGAAGCTGATGGGTGGGCCAAACGGCTTAATTTTAGCTGCACCTGCTGCAAAAGGATCCAAAATATATGTGGAGTTATTAATGCAGGGTAGACACAAACCAGCAGGATAAAAGGCACAAGAACGCCAGGATGGGTATCCATCTTGGCGGTCAATGTGGGTCCAGAATCTTCTTTTTTCTGCAAGTGGAATATCAGTGCAATTAGAAAGAG